TCACATGGTTCCTAAGTGGAGCCAGAATTTGGACATCTGGCCCGGAGGCTGTGCTGTCTCCCGGCGGTGACACTTCTTGGCTTCACCGTGTACTCAGCCCTCTCGTGGCCAGGCTGCCCCTCCCTGGCCCCTACTGCTGCCCGCTGGCTGGCTCGGGCACCTGCCGCAGATGTGCCTCTCTTGTGACATGTGTGTCTTGATACATGGCTCTCTAGGCAGGCGAGTGCGAGCCGAGGTTGATGGGGTCAGAATTCACCCTCGAAGCCCGACTCCAGTGCTCACTCTCTGTGGGATCTTGAGAAAGTCCCTTGATTTCTCTGAACCTGAGTTTCCTTGCTGGCAACATGGGGCAGAGCATCAGCATTCAATAGTCAGTGCAGCACGGGACAAGGTCCTAGGCACTGGTGACACGAGGCCAAGGAGGTGCACACCGTCCTTGCCCTGCGGAGCTTCCAGTGAGACGGGAAGGGTTAAGAATTAAATAGATAATGACGGTGAAAGCATCTGACAATTGTCTGGTGGAGTATGCCTGGCAGATACTAGTGGAGCCTGAATTCCAGGCTGCGGTGGCTCATTTCTAAGTCCCTGCCTGTGATCTTGCTCTCCTCTTTGGGCCAGAAAGCTAACAGTGACGGTTGAATACCTCCAGAAAATAAAAAAGTAGCTCTTCTTTAGGAAGAGTGATAACCGCTGGGCTCTGAGCACTTCTCTCCTTCTCTGATGACAGTTGTGCCCCTTCTGTGCTTCTAGGGTGGCAGTGACCAGCCCAGACCCTCCAGCTGGTTGCTGGAGTTCACGTCCCAGCTGGGGATCCGACACCTTGTTCTTTAGTGTCGCCACCATTAATCAAAACTTCAAAGGGAGTGTGTAGTCATCGTGTAAAAACTGAAACTACCGACGAGCAAGAAGAAATTGAAATCAGCCCAAGTCCCACCATCCAGAAAGAACTACGGTTAACATTTTAGAGTATCTCTCTCTCCAGACTTTTCCCCATTCGATATATTTGTCTAAATAACTCTGTACGTATATTGGGCCAGGAGGTCAGGATTCCCAGCCTCGGGGCTTCTACAGAGGCCCCCACTGCTGGGTGGGGCATAGATCGCTGGGGGCTGCTCGGAGCCCGGGACGGTGGGAGGTCAGGTGCAAGACCCTTTGGTCAGTTTCCACGTGCGCCCCAGCCCCCAGCTGAGCCTGGGGCCGCCTCCTCCCAGCTCTGCCCCGTCTGGGAGCTGCGTCTCATCCCTCCCATGGAAGCCACTTGTCGCGTGGGACGGCTGTGTCAGAAGGAAACCCTGCAAGCATGTCCCTGGGAATGAATCGGGCCTTTATGTGAAAAGCCACTGTGTCCAACTGCGGCTCCTCACAACCCACTGTGCAAGCCGGCTCTGGCGTCACTGCTAGCTGGGGTACAGACGGGATGGGTGGGAGCCCGCAGATCATCTGCGGCTCAGCAACAGCTGGAGAACTTACTGACAGATGCAAGTGTGACATTTAACCAGGCCGCCTGGACTCCTCCCAAACTCTGGACAGTGATGTCCGCTTTCCTTCTCCACCCCCGAATTTCCCAAAAATCTTAAAAATCATGACTATAATTGATCGAGCAGAGATTCTGTGCCAGGCCCTTCCTCCCCCTGCCAGCCGCCCCCATCAGTGGAAAAACTGTCTTCCATGAAACCATCCCTGGTGCCCAAAAGGTTGGGGATCGCTGTTCTAATACAGTCACATTTATGACCAACACAATCAACTGTTAAAGCTGGAACTTTTCTTATGAGCATGATGTTGTATAGTTTGTCTTGTTTTGATACTGAGTCTGACTCTGTTGCCCCCTAGAGTGCCGTGGCATCATCATAGCTCACAGCAACCTCAAACTCCTGGGCTCAAGTGATCCTCCTGCCTCAGCCTCCCGAGTAGCAGTGACTACAGGTGTGAGTCAGCACACCTGGCTCATTTTTTCTATTTTTAATAGAGATGGGATCTGACTCCTGCTCAAGCTGGTCTCGAACTCCTGAGCTCAAGCGATCCTCTTGCCTCAGCCTCCCAGAGTGCTAGGATTACAGGTGTGAGCCACTGTGCCAGGCCTGTTGTATAGTTTTTAAGGGAGGGAGGGAAACAATCCCAGCAGAATTGCAACATCTATGCTAAATCTTCCTCCTTTTGAAGTTGAATTCTTTATCATCTTCCTCTTTTGTGACTCAAAGGCAGAGAGAAGAGGGTTTACCCAAACTCTTTGAAACATTTGAGGGCTGACCCAGCGCTAGGGAGGGTTGTGCAAATCTGGGGGAGAGGAGTTGGGAGAGTGGCCTGGAGCCTGACTCAAGCATCTTGGGACACTCGGTGAAAGGCAGGAAGAGAATTCTCCAGCCCATCATGCCAGCGTGAGGTCTAAGCAAGTCCACCGCAGGGCACCACCTCCTCCCCGACTGGAGGCTGCCTGCCCTCCCCAGCTGTCCTGGCCTTCCCTCCTCCCTGGCCAGCACTGAGCCTCTAGTGGGGAGGTAGCCAGAGCCAAGGCAGCTGGGGCCACGGTTCCCCAGTTAGCCTGTGCCCCTCGCCACAGGGATTTGGTGACTCACTGAATGAGGCATCGTAAATTTTTTCCTAACAGCACACTTGTCACTGAACCATTCCAACAATTTGGCACAGCAAGTGATCTGGCTCAAGGCAGCAGAGGTAATCCTCCAAGCGCTGGTGGGGGGGGGCAAGGACCCCCAAGGTCCCTGTCACATCTGTCTGGGGCTGGCATAATCGTGCCCACTTCACAGACAGGCACTGGAGTTACAGGGTGGTCATGTGAAAAGGATTAGTGACTCAGCCCCTCAGGCCCCCTAGGACAGACTCTGGCACCTCACCTGCAGTGGGTAGCACTGCTGAGTGGCTGGAAGCATGGGCCTTGGCAGTAGATGGCCAGGGTTCAAATCCTGGCTCTGCCACTTCCAAGCTGGGTGACCCCAGGCAGGTTCCTGAATCTCTCTAGGGTCTCTTCCTCATTGGGAAACGGGGATAATACCTAATTCATGGGGCCTCTGTAAAGATTCAATAAGGCACATTAGGGGACAAGCTTGAGCATAGTGCCAGCAGCCAGGGATGCTCCTAAATGTACCCGCTCCATCCCACTGCCTCTGCCCTCCTCCTGCCTCCTCTCCTGTGGGCTCTGTCTTCTCATTGCTCTTTTGAACACGCAACAGTGGCCACCCACATTATATTATTTAATACTCTCGGTAGCATGGGCAAGAGGTATTATTGTATTATCCCTGGTTGAGAGGGGTGGAGATTGGGGCTGTGAGTGTCTTCGCCAGGGCCACCACAAAGGGCACCACTGAGCCCAGCGTTCGGGCCGAGGTCGGACTGGGAAGTCATTTGCCAGCACGACAGCTCCCAAGGGAAGCCCCTGATCTCGGACCAGCTGCCACAAGGGAAGTTCCGGATGTGGCCAAGTATTCTGTCACCGCATTCTTCCTAGGCAGTTCAGTCCCTGGACTCTGGACGGCTGCCGAGGAGCTGTGGAGGCAGGAAGAGAACTCCCTATGGCAGATGCAGGGGAGGCAATGCGGCCACAGGGCTGTCGTTCTGCCCCTTGCTCGGTGCCAGGCTGCGGCTGACACTGTGCGTCTCGTCTAGGCCCCACGACACTGCTGGGAACTTGGCCTCGTGGAGTGCCTAAGTCACAGAGGAGGATGAGACACAGAGAGGCCCGGTCACTTACACCGCCTGCACCTGGGGGTGTAAATGAGGTGTCTCTCTCTCCACCCACTCCTCCCATCAGCGTGGGGTACAGTTGGGCCGGAGCAGTAGATTTGGAAACCACATTTAGGCTAAGTGACCTCAACCCACCACCGTGGGCAAATTAGCAGAGCCTCTCTGCCTTTGGGAGTCCCCCTGGCCTCTCACCAAGCAGCCTGGGACTCCTTGAGCTTGTGGGGTGGGGCTCAGTGAGGGCCATTTCTGCGTCTCTCATGCATTCTCGGGACCTAGGCAGGGTCCTCTCTAGGCCCCCCACCTCAGAGCTGTGTGTCCTGAAGCTTGGACCTCGTTGAGGGAAAGGCAGGTCCCCGAGCCCTTGGGGTCCTCACTAACCCTGCCCCCGCCCCACCCACGAGGTCCCCTGAGAGCGGGCGCTCTGCCTCGTTCTCCTCTGGGTCTCCACCACCTGCGACGGTGCCCGGCCGGCCCGAGACACCTGTGTGACTGACTGACGACTGACGGACCGACTGACTGAGAAACAGCCAGCCCCGGTGATAAGCAGCCCGTGAGGCCAGGTGGCAGGCCTGCGCTGGGGTCGCGGGCAGGGAAGGTCCCCAGCGGCCCCTGAGAGCGGGAGCGGGAGGGCTCCGGGAAGCACAGGTCCAAACCGGTTACGGGCCGCTGCCCGCCAGAGGGTCCGGCATGCCTGCCTGGGGTGCCGCAGCCGGGCAGTCCACGGCTGCCCTGTGGCATCCCGGCCTGTGTCATAGGACTTCGGGGCTGCTAGAGGGCTTCCCGCCAATACCGCCTCCTGTGCGTGGCCGACTCCTACAAATGCACCGCGAGAAGGACCCGTGCGGTGGCGGAAACAGTCTGGACTCGGAGTTACAGAATCCAGGTCGGAAGGACACCCGCCCCCCATGCTTCATGCACACGCATGCGCGGTGTCTTCCCTCCCAGTGGGTGGCCTTGGGACGTCCCTCCAGCTGCGGGTTCTCTGCTCGTGGCTTCATCCCTGTAACATGGAGATGATGTCGCCCTCATGGACTGTTGTGACAGGGTTGACAGAGGCTAGAACGTGCGTAGGCCCCGTACATACCCACACCTGCCCCTGCGGCGCTGTGGCCTCCCTCAGGTGTCTCCCGGAGTGCCGCTCGCCATGCTCGGGCTCAGAGCACAGAGCCTCTCCAGGCAGGTCCCCTGGGTTTCTCCCCCAGCCCACCCCCCAACCTGAGGAGCCTGGCTTCCCAGCCACGCAGACCCCTGACACAGGAAAGGAAAGAATCAGCATAATCACCAATTACCTTCCCTCCGCTCACTTCTCTGGGACAGTAACTTGCCGGTGCCCAGAGGCAGGGCTCCTCCGAACAGCCACCAGGCCAGGTGCAGGGGAGGCTCGGGGAATTGTGCAATCTTCAAGCCAATGAAGTGGGGGCCGAGCTCTGGGGGAAACAGGCTCTGGGTTCCTGCTGCTCTGAACACACCATGGGGCTACTCACGAAAGCGCTCTAGAAAACGTGGAGAAGGCAGGGGGGATGCCAACGACAGTGATGATTAAAGGGTTGGAAAATGAGGTGGATGTGAGCTTAAAGGTTAGGTGGGAGGAGCATTTAGCCCGCAGGAGAAGGGCACGAGGGCAGGGAACTTAACCCCTCTTCCTGCCTTGTGAAAGAGGATAGCCCCCGGTTCTTCCCCTGCTCTGAACCTGCGCTCTCTTGTCCTCGCTCCCTTTATCTTTATCTCGATCATCTTCTCCTTCTATTTACTTCTCAGCTCATTTTGATCTTTATGGAGCTCCTACTCTGTGCCAGACAGGGTTGCCAGATTCGGGAGATAACAAGGGTGAACGGCAGGGTCTCTGCCTTGCGGGGCAAGTGGGAGGAATGGGTTCATCACCCCAACTCCCTACGCTGTAGGCCTGCAGGGCTCCAGGTCCCATATCTTATATGCCAGAGGCAGGAAGGGCTGGGGCTGCAGGTGTCCTGGGAGCTCAGGAGGTCAGTGGGCTGCCCAGCCCTGCCTGAGCTTTGGGAACTTTCCCCCCATGAAAGGTGCCCAAGCGGGGTGTCGGAGAAGGAAACAATGAGCTGGGCGAGCACAGGCGGAAGGGCGTTCCAGGCAGCAGAAGCAGCCTGAGCAAAGGTCAGGGACGTAACATGCGGAATATGCGTAGGCAGCCACAAACAGCTGGGCTCTACTGCAGCAAAAGTGGGGAGCTGCGTGGTACAGCATGGCCAGAACGCCAGGCAGGGCCCAGATGCCAACACCCTGCACCCCGTGATGGGGGCTGTGGCTTGATCTGGAAGCCAGTGCTTCGCAGAGCACGGCCACAGGCTACGAGCAGCATTAACAGAGGTTCCAGAAAAATAAAGGGTCAAATAAGCTAAGCGGCATTGAATTAAACAAGTGGCTCTCAACTGTGGGCAATTTACCCCCCCCCCAGGGGACACTTGGTAATGGCTAGAGAAATTTTGGTGGTCCTATTTTGGGGGCAGGGTACCACCGGAATCTAGTGGAAAGAGACCAGGGATGCTGCTCCTTGTCCTACAAGACACAGGACTGAACCCTATAGAAGCCTCCCCCGCCCTGCCAGCCCGCCCAGGGCTCAGGGCTCTTGAAAGTTCCAGAAGCCCAGGACAGCCCAGTTCCTGAAGCGTCGTACAGGCCCTGCCAGATCATTTGTCTCTGTGCTGTCACAGTCTGCTGGCTGGTTGGTCTCCCCACTGGACCATGCAGGTCTGAATGGCTGGGTTCAGGTAGCCAGTATTTTGGGGAGGAAGGAGGGAAAAATATGGAAAGGACATTCTGGCAGGGTTGGATGGAGGGGGTTGCGTTGGGTAGGATCCGGCTCGTTGGGGACACTTCTGCCATCAGCATTGGGAGGATTTGGGGGGCTCTTTCCATCCTAGCAGCCCCCACATCTGTGCTTGGGGGTGCAGGAATTAGACCGAGCCCTGAGGAGCTGGCCAGGTTAGAGTCACAGACCTACTCTGTCCTGGGAAGAGCGTCCCCTATGGCCAGCTCCTTCTCTCCGATTTCTTTCCTATTTTATTTTTTTTCTTTTCCTTTTTTTTTTAAGATAAGGTCTCACTCTGTCTCCCAGGCTAGAGTGCAGATGTGTCAGCATAGCTCACTGCAGCCTCAAACTGCTAGGCTTAAGCCATCCTCCTGCCTCAGCCTCCGGAGTAGCTGGAATGACAGGTGCTTGCTAACATGCCCAGCTAATTTTTCTATTTTTTTCGTAGAGATTGGGTCTCACTCTGTTGCTCAGGCTGGTCTCAAACTCCTGACCTCAAACAATCCTCCCACCTCAGCCTCCGAAAGTGCTAGGATTACAGGCAGGAGCCTCTGCACCCGGCCTCATAGCATCTTTTAACACGCCTATTTTTAGTTTATTTGCCTGTCTCTTCCCTTTATTCTCCTCCCCACCACGATGTCAGCCCCACAAACGCAGGGCTTTTTATCTGTATTGTTCACTGCCCTATTCCCAGCACACAGTATGTGCTCAATTAAAATATGTTGCATGAACAAACATCTCAATGCCTACCCTGGTATACAGCCAGCTCAGAGTGCCTGGGTGCCGGGGTCAGAGTCTACCCCAGCAGGAATGGGGAAGTCCCAGGAAATTTCCCTCCTAAAACATGTAGCATGTTTTCATTATGCAAGGTGATCATTCTGAAATTGCTTCAGGGAGAAGACGTAGGAACTTTATACTTACGCCCCTGGTCTTCCCTGAAAAGTCTGGGATGATGGACTGACCCATTAGCCAAGGGAGGAAGGATCAGGACAGGATGCTGCAAAAGGCCCAGCAAGCTAACAGCCAAATGAAATCGTAGCCACTCAGCGGGACAGTGGCATGAGCAAAGGCCTCGCTGCCTCCCGCAACCGTTGCCAAGCATTGTGACACACGGGGCTAACTGCATCTGAGCGCGGAGCTGCCGGTGGCAGCCCACACAGCTGGCAGGGCTTCAGTCACCGCCTGCTCGCCCGAGCATCACCCTGCACCAGAGGCCAGCGGGCACTCCCCGATTACACACGGGGAGTGAGGACCAGAGCAGGGAAAGCGCGAGTCCATTGGTCCCCTTGGAAACAGATGCAACAAAATACGCACCTGTGGGTAGAAGCAGGTGCCCAGCCTAGTCAGGGTTGCCGGGGAGTTCTGTGCTCACGGGGGTTCATGTTTGCCCCTGCAGGAGCAGAGAAGGTTGTTAGAAACCCGGGTTTAGATCTTAGCTGACCCTCCACGCTGCGGGTTCCAGGCTGCAGAAGCTCATTCAATTTGTAAAACTCTCTTCGATAAATTTAATCCTTAAATAACACCATTTCTAGCATTATCGTGCTCATTTTACATAGCATAATTTTACAGAGGCTCAAAGTGGTTGGGTGAGTTTCTCAAAGTCACAAAGCCAGTTTGTATGAGAGACAGGTTTTGAGGCCAGTCTCTGACTGCAGTTGAGGTTGGTTCTCGCTGTGTAGACAAGACTGTTCTCTCTTCCCGTCATCCAGAGGGTTTCTGTTTGGGGCCCACTCTTCTTGTTTGACATTGTGTCTTTGAAAGTATTTTGTGATTTCAAACACTGGATACAAATTTAAGGGACTATCACTGTTACCCACATTCAAAATCATCAATTTCAAACTGATGGAAAATTTCCCAGCATTTGTCTATAAAACAGGGGTGGAGAGGAAACTTTTTACTGCATTCCCCTGTGTACCTTTTGAACCATTCAACAATAATTTTTTAAAAAAATATTATTTAAATCTGTGTAAACCATTTCTCTCGTGCATTTATTCATTAATAGCAATGACAGATAAACAAGTTAGATCACGAAGATTTTTCCAGAAAAATCCAGAAAGAAACCATAAGAAGGAAGGCACAGTGACTGTGTCTCACAGTAACTTTAATTCAGTGGAAAAGCATGATGCCTGCTCTTAGAATAACATTATATGATCACATATTGAGTTAAAAGAAAATGAGTCAGAGGGCTTTGGGAAGAGAAGGGCATGACATGCAACGTAAAGGACTATTGGCCTAAACTTCTTAAGGCCTTGGGTATAACAAAACCTACCATGAAGCATCATTATCAGACTCAGCTGAGATAACCTCTGGGAAGGCGGCTAGTACGAATGACCTGCAGCTCTGTACACGTCTGTCTGTTGAATCTTAGAAATATCAAGTTTCCATGGGCAGGAATGCTTTTGACTATAAATAATGAGAAAACCTCACTAAATGGCTGAGATGGATACAGGCTCCTTTTTCTCACTGTGTAATATGTCTCTTGAGATAGTAAGTCCAGGGCTGGGATAGGGTGAGCGACATCCAGGTTCGCCCAAGACCTGGATTTTGCATGAAATCCCTGTTTTAGTTTTCTTTTCTTTTCTTTTTTGAAACAGAATCTTGTTCTGTTGCCCGGGCTAGAGTGCCAAGGTGTTAGCCTAGCTCACGGCAACCTCAAAGTCCTGGGCTCTAGCGATCCTCCTGCCTCAGCCTCCCCAATAGCTGGGACTACAGGCATGTGCCACCATGCCCAGCTAATTTTTTCTATTTTTAGTAGAGACGGGGGGTCTCGCTCTTGCTCAGGCTGGTCTCGAACTCCTGACCTCAAGTGATTCTCCCGCCTCGGCCTCCCAGAGTGCTAGGATTACAGGCGTGAGCCACCACGCCCAGCCTGCATCCCTGTTTTAGCATCGAAAGTCCTACATCTCAGGAAGTCTCCACCTGGTTGTTCAGCCCAGCAGCAGTGGTCATCAGTGTCACCATCCAGATCAAAGGTAGTTTCTTCTTTTTCACTTGGCCATTCTGACTGTTGCTCGTTGCCTCTTGGTTGCAAGATAGCTATTGCACCTTCAGGCATCATGTCTGCATTCCAGGTAAGATGAAGATGGAAGGTCAAAAGGATCAGAGGCTTTTCTCTTACACGAGTTGCCTCTTATTCTGGAAAGAAAGCTTTCCTTGAAGATGTGCCCTTATATCCTCTTGGCCAGCACTATCTCGCTAGCCGCAAGAGTAGTTGGACAATTGAAGTTTTGGTTTCCAAAGCCACAGTAGGAGAAGGCCAGGGGAGAAGGTGGCGGGAGGATTTGGGGTGGCCCACCCACAGTGCCTGCCCCCGCCCCCCGCGCCCTCACCCTTCATCACACCCGGCCAATGTGTGCTGAGCACCTGCTGTGGGACAGTCACTGAGCTGGGATCGCAGTGGGCAGAAATAAGAACAAGACACAGCCCCAGCCCGAGTAAGCGTGCCATCTGGGACATGCTGACATGGAACAGAGGTGACTATGTCACAAGGCAGCCGGGAGAGAGCGGGAATCTTCCTGAGGCGCGGTGGGAACGGGAGCGACAGGGCTCGGGGATTAGCGGGATAAACATGAGCACAGCATTGTCTCTAGGTGGAGATGAACCCTACGATGCAAGGATGTCCCTTGGCAACAAGAAAGCTCTAGAGAGAGGAGCCAGGGGATGTGAGAAGAAGGACTGAGCAGGTAGGGGTAATTACCTCTCGTCCCTGAAAATGCCCTGGCCCCGAGGGGGCTGCCACGGCAGGAGCCCTCAAAGTCCTAGGCTCTAGTGATCCTCCTCCCTCAGCCTCCCCAATAGCTGGGACTACAGGCACATACCACCATGTCCAGCTAATTTTTTCTATTTTTAGTAAAGACAGGGTCTCACTCTTGCTCAGGCTGGTCTCGAACTCCTGACCTCAAGTGATCCTCCCGCCTCGGTCTCCCAGAGTGCTAGGATTACAGGCGTGAGCCACCGCGCCCGGCCTGCATCCCTGTTTTAGCATCGAAAGTCCTACATCTTGCGTGCAAACAGCGTGTGAACAGAGGTCCCAGGGCCTTGTGCACACCAGCAAAGAGCTCTAAGAACTCCTTGTGGAGACAAGTCACCTCCAGTAAAGGCGACTCCAAACTGCCCTTGAGAGAGAGAAGACCGACCTTTATCCCCTGCCTGAGATCCTGCGGGACACTCACGCCCCCGCCTCGCCTGTTTCCTATCCTTTTGGCCTTCGATGCCAGCCCCCTCCTCGCTTCCCAGCCTCTCCCTGCTTCTCCGGCTCAGTTGCTAAATCCACCTCCAGGCCCAGGCCTGGCCAGCCTCTGCGCCAGACGGGCCGGAGGGGGCAGCCGTAGCCTCAGTTGCCAGCCAGGCTTGGCGCTGGCGCCAGCGGCTGCCGGGGCTCCTGGGTGAGCGGCAGCATGCCCGTCCTCCCCTGCCCTGGTGGCCCGGGTCACAGCAGAGCTCCTGCTTTAATCCCACACCGGTGGCCCCAGAGCCACCGAAGCACACCTGGAACTGTCCTGCAGGTGCCTCGTGTGAACTCACAGAAGCATTGTAAACAGGCCTGCAAGGTGGGCAGAGTGACCCTCACGTTGCCCGTGCACAAATGAGGCCCAAGGGGGTTCGGGGGCAGAGGTGGGCTCGATGCCTGGGTTGGCTTCTAGAGCCCCTGCTCGCCCCGCTGCTCCACGCCATTTCTCTGTGTGCAGCGGAGCTGTCCCGGTCCCCGTGCCCTGTGAGCTTCTCTGTGCCCAGACCCCTGGCCCAGCCTGGCATTCTCTGCAGCAGGGTCTCAGTTGCCATAAACTGGGATGAAGCTTCATTTATTCCTCCACTTAACAAATATTTACTGGGTTAATAAATACTCAGGAAGCACCAGGCGCTGTGGGGGCCATCATGTTATTTTCAGGCTGCCGGAATGTGCCCACTTGCTCGTCTCCAGGGACCACCGGCTGCCAGAGCTGGCCATGTCCTCAGGGCACCGTGGCAGGGCTGCCCGTGGCCGGCTCAGGCCAGCGCTGGGCCCCTCTCAACTGCCCTGCACATCAGTGGCCTCTCTGACCTTGCTTCGTGCCCTTCCCAGCCATGCCTGTTTGCAGTCTGGGCCTGGCACGGTCACACCTGCGCCCGTTCAACTCAGCTAGTCACTGCCGTCATCAAAGTAAGGTGGTCAGAGGAACTAAAGTCGCCTCCAGATTCATTTGATTCTTGGTAAACAATATGGTGAAGTGGAGGTTAAAGGAGAAAATCTTTTTTTTTTTTTTTGTGGGGGAGAAGCTGCCAATAGTCATTATTCCCCCCCTTCTGGGTGGGGACCCCGGAGAGGTACCATAGCAGTGCAAGAAACTGAGATGGAGGGATAAAACGACCAGCTCAATTCACACATTATTATGTCTTTTCCTATTTGCAATAGTAATATACATGTTTATTGTAGAAAAGTGGGAAGTACCAAAAAGTTAAAAAATGAAGAAAGAAAAAGAAAGTAAAAGGAAGAAAATTGGAAAATGTTAATACTCTGTGATATTATTACCCAGAGATGATTATTACTCTTAACATTTTGTATTTACCTCTAGATTTTTCTCTGTGCACATTCGTGGGTTTATTCTCTGTATACTACTTTGCACCCATTCTTAACACTTGTCATTATATAGATACCACTCCCCCCTTGACACCAAGAGTGTCATGAAGACACCATTTTAAATGGCTGCATAGTGTTCCATCATACAGGCGTGCCATGTGACCTACACTCTTGGCTATTTGGGTCGTTCCCTGATGCCACCTCCCATTTTATCCTACATAAACGACACCGAGGTGAACATTCGCACGTGTATATTTGTGCCCACATCTGATCTTTTCTCCTTGGGTCGAATTGTGAGGGACACAGTTGGACAAACTGCTGGACTTTGGCTCAGAAAGGGGGAGCAGGGGAGCTCTGGTCACCAGCTGGCTTCCTGAGCAGAGGCTTTGGGGAGGCCCAAATGGGGAGATGCTGAACCAGGGTGCCTGGGCACCCCAGAGCTTCATTTATCTTACAATTTTTCTTTGAATGACCCTTGCTTTATTACTCCCAACTCTTTGGTTCAGAAATCCTCTGAGACAAGCTTAAGCCGACAAAGAGGAATTGATGTGAGAACGTCGGGGCAGGAGCACAGCGGTCCCCAGAAAGGGCTTGAGGAAGAGGAGTGCCGTCGGACTGCCCTCCTCTCCCTTCTCTTCCTGCGGGTTCCTGGGCTGCAGTGGTCCTCCAACTCAAGAGTGCCCCAGACCACCCCTGCAGGGCTCACCAAACACCAATCGCTGGGTCCCACCCCAGAGTTTCTGGCTGGCCAGATCTGGGGGTGGGGGAGACTCTGCATTTGTGACTCAGTCCCAGGTGATGCCGAAGTCCGGGGACCACACTTCGAGAACCTC